AAGGGCATTCAATTAGGAAAAGAAGAAATCAAATAGTCCCTATTTGCAGATGACATGATGATATATTTAGAAGACCCCATCATCTTAGCCCAAAACCTCCTTAAGCTGATAAGCAACTTAGGCCAAGTCTCAGGATACAAGATCAATGTGCAGAAATCACAAGCATTCCTATACATTAACAACAGACAGAGAGCCAAATCACAAGCGAACTCCCATTTACAACTGCTACAAAAAGAATAAAATACCTAGGAATAAAACTAACAAAGGATGTAAGAGATTTTTTCAAGGAGAACTACAAAGCACTGCTCAAGGAAATAGGAGAGGACACAAACAGATGGAAAAACATCCCAGGTTCATGGTTAGGAAGAATCAATATTGTGAAAATGGCCATATTGTCCAAAGGAATTTATAGATTCAGTGCTATCCCCATCAAGCGACCATTGATCTTCTTCACAGAACTGGAAAAAATCACTTTATACTTCATATGGAACCAAAAGAGAGACCTCATAGCCAAGAGAATCCTAAGCAAAAAGAAAAAAGTTGGAGGCATCACGCTACCGGACTTCAAACTATACTACAAGGCTACAGTAATCAAAACAGCATGGTACTGGTATCAAAACAGCATGGTACTGGTACCAAAACAGAGATATAGACCAATGGAACAGAACAGAGGCCTCAGAAACAATGCCACACATCTACAACCATCTGATCTTTGACAAACCTGGTAAAAACAAGCAATGAGGAAAGGATTCCCTGTTTAATAAATGGTATTGGGAAAACTGGCTAGCCATATGCAGGAAGCTCAAACTGGACCCCTTCCTTATACCTTATACAAAAACTAACTCCAGATGGATTAAAGATTTAAGCATAAGAACTAACACCACAAAAACCCTAGAAGAAAACCTAGGCAACACGATTTAGGATACAGGCAGAGGCAAGGACTTCATGACTAAAACACCAAAAGCAATGGCAACAAATGCAAAAATAGGCAAACGTAAACTAATTAAACTCCAGAGCTTCTGAACGCAAAAGAAATATTCATCAGAGTGAACTGGCAACCAATAGAATGGGAAAATATTTTTGCAATCTACCCATCTGACATAGGGCTAATATCCAGAATCTACAAAGAACTAAAGTAGATTTACAAGGAAAAA